TTTTTTGAGACAGAGTTTTACTCTTGTCACCCAGGCTGGAGTGCAGTGGCACGATCTTGGTTCACTGCAACCTCCGCTCCCGGGTTCAAGTGATTCTCCTGCCTCAGCCTCCCAAGTAGCTGCCACCACGCCCAGTTAATTTTTGTATTTTTAGTACAGACAGGGTTTCAGCATGTTGGCCAGGCTGGTCTTGAACTCCTGACCTCAGGTGATCCACCCACCTTGGCCTCCCAAAGTGCTGAGATTACAGGCATGAGCCACTGCGCCTGGCCACCTCGCTCCATTTTTAAATTATTTTCATAGATGGGGCCCAGACTGGCCTCAAACTTCTGGGCTCAAGCGATCTTCTTGCCTCAACCTTCCAAAATGCTGGGATTACAGGTGTAAGCCATCACACCTGGGCAGGCCAAGATTTCTATAACTTTGTCTATCACTAATGCCTAGAAATAAGCAGGATCTGAAAAAATACTTGCTGATGAATACATGAAGACAGGTGAACAAAACACAGACCATTCTCTGAAAACCATATAATAAATCACTTACCGAAATTGCATATAGATTATAAATAGGCTTAATACGAGTGTCTTCTCTTTGGTCATCAGTGCTGTCTTCTTCACTGTGGTTTCCAAGCTGACCATTGCTGTAGCCGTTGCCACATGCTTCATGCTCATAAAGGAATCCATTGGCCAAAGCTACCTCATGGTCCTGAGGAGTGACCAGCTCTGGTTGGCTGCCCCCCAGCATGTGCCCTCGGCTCAAGGTGTCAGCCAGCTCACAGATCTGCCCAGCCCCATTCTCTTTGCTGGCATCCAAGTTCTCCTTACTACTTGACAGTTTATTTTTGCTGCCAATCTGGGGCAGCCGGAGCCTCCCTTTGCTCCTCCCCAAAGTCCGTGGGCTGCTATTAGGGCTGCTGTTTTTGCTGGAGGGACAGCTGGTTCCACTTTTTCTTGTTGAAGAAGGAGAACCTGTGAACAGGAGAGAAGAAAAGATTGACAAATCCAAATGCCACAAGGTAAGCCGGCCCCAAATGCTACTCTAAGGTTAGCTTCACAACTGTATACACAAAGGTAAAGATAGGGGAGTTGTGACTGGCACTCTTTAGTTCCTATTATGTAGCCAGTAAGTTACATTTTTGTCTTCTTCAATGCCAAGTCCCTATAAGCAACAATATCCTGAAAATGTAAAGTACATTATAGGGACTCAGAAAATGGCAGAAAGATGATTTATGTCAGATTCAGTAGAAAAAAAGTGTAACTATTAGGCTATAGAGTTTTCCAAATACATATTCTTCTCCTTTGTAAAATTAGACAAAAACTATGACCACCATTTATTGAGTAATTACTATTGTTAGACATGGTACTGGGAATTTCTTGCTGTCCATTGTTATCTCTATGTCTTACAAAAATCCTGTAAGGCTTTAAACTTTTTGGTTATAGCCTCTTGCCCCACCCCCTTTTATACCTTTAAAAATAATTGAGGACCCTTAGAACTTTTATGTAAATTTTATATATCAATATTTCCCATATTAGAAATTAAAACTGAGGAATGAAAAAGTACAATACATTAGTACAGACTTCACTGTCAAAGTGACAATATCATCCCATGTCATGTTGTCTCTCACACCATTGTATATTTGTGAGATAATAAAAGTGAAAAGGCACATATTGTCTTAGTATTTTTATGAAAACAGTTTTGGGCCAGGCGCAGTGGCTCACGCCTATAATCCTAGCACTTTAGGAGGCTGCAGCAGGAGGATCACTTGAACTCAGGAGTTCAAGTTCAGTCTGGGAAACACGGTGAAGCCCCCCCCATCTCTACAAAAAATACAAAAATTAGCCAGGTACAGTGGTGTGTGCCTGTAGTCCCAGCTACTCAGGAGGTTGAGGTGGAAGGATCAATTGAGCCCAGGAGGTTGAGGCTACAGTGAGCTATGATCTCTGTTGCACCACTGCACTCCAGCCTGGGTGACAGAGTAAGACCTTGTCTCAAAAATAAAATAAGATAAAATAAAAGAGTTTTGATCCTCTGGACCCCCTGAAAGACGGGGAACCTCAGAACTTTTGCTATAAGGGGACAAGACAGCAGCTACCATTCCTGTTTACTGGGTATCAGGCACTGTGCGAAGTGCTTTACTCTCCACGTGTCAAACTCTCAACTCTGTGTAAACCTGGTATTATCTACATTTTACAGACGAGAAATAGATTCAAGGAGGCTGAATTTCTTGCCAAAAGTTACATAGCTCAAATATAGGTGGGTCTGATTTCAGATAGGTTCCTTCCACCCAACTAACCTGATGTTCCAGAACAGAAGACAGAGAAACATATGTAGCCTACAAGGGTCCCAAAAAGACACCTGCATAGGCCCCAGGTCTCACCTTTTGGGCTGCTGATAATGTTGGCGCTGAGTGAGGATGGGCTTTTGCTCAGGAGCACATCCTCTTCCCCGGCCGAACTCTGCGCTTCCACTTTCTTCACCTCTCTTGCCAGAACCCTGGTCTCGGAGAGCTCGTCTCCCTGGGGTGTGAGTGGTTTACGCTGGCAGAGCGCTGGATCTCTTGGTACCAAAAAAGCACTCGGGTCAAAACTTTCCCGAGGAAATTTGACAATTTTCTGTGATTTTATCCATCGACCATTTACAAATTGAAATCGCTTAAGATGAATTATCTGGAGAAGTAAAGTTAGAAAACATCTGCATTGAAGAGTTCTGAAGATACAAAGTTTACATGGAAAAAACAGGTCTAATACATGTGAATATTTGGGAATATGTAATAGAAACCCTTCATTATTCTTTAAATACTTCAAAAATATGGTTTTCATAAAAGCCTCTTCACAGGCCCCAGGGCACTGGTATGCTTGTGTACACACACTCAACTCAGCTGGGTGCCACAGCCATGTGACTATACGCAGTGGGTGCTGGTTCTGGGCTCAGTTGCTCTTCTAGAGTCCACAAAGGGCTAGCCTAAGCTTCCTCTCTCCACAGACCCAGAGGTTCACCCTCTCTTGAAGTTCACATTCACCACGTTGGACCCCTTGTGGCAATTCTCACATGGCACTGAATTGCAGTTACTGGTCTACATGATTGCTCTCTTCTTCTAGGTTACAAGCTCTTTAGGAAAAGGAATTACCAAACATTTGTAGAAAGACTCATCTCTGTACTCAACATAAAAGCTGTGTACAGAAAGTGTTTTAAACACTGCAGAAGGAAGGGTCTTATTCTCAAAAATAACAAAATCAGCCGGATGCGGTGGCTCACGCCTGTAATCCCAGGCTGAGGAGGGCAGATCATGAGTTCAGGAGTTCGAGACCAGCCTGGCCAACGTGGTGAAACCCCATCTCTACTAAAAATACAAAACTTAGCCAGGCATGGTAGCCCCGGCTACTTGGGAGGCTGAGGCAGATGAATTGCTTGAACCAGGGAGTCGGAGGTTGCAGTGAGCTGGGATCACGTCACCACACTCCAGTCTAGGGACAGAGCAAGACTCCGTCTCAAAAAAAACAAAACCAAACCTCCTGTTTATGTCTTCCTTCTTACATGCTAGATTCCTGCTCTTTCAGAGACAGGACTGTAACATACCAGGATGGGTGGAAGCCTCCAGAGATCCAGCTTCTTGGTTGCCAAACAGTGGGTCTTACACTTGGAACAGTAGTACATTTCATTTTCCCCTAGCTCTTCCTCATTGGTGAAAGCACGGAGACAGCTGTCCAGATTGATGGGCTCGGCTTGTGCTCTCCGACTCTGCTCCACACTCTCATGCTCATCTACAACCTGCAGGTAGAGGGAACAGGAGGAAAAGAGGGTGTGGGAAGGCATTTGAAGTGGTGATCCAGTTAGCTATGCATCATCCTCTTGGCCACTCACCCTCATCTCACTCTATATAAGGAAAAAGCAAATACAACTGCCTGGGTATGGTGGCTCATCCCAGCACTTTAGGAGGCCAAAGTGGGAGGATTGCTTGAGTCCAGGAGTTTGAAACCAGCCTAGCCAACATAGATCCTATCTCTATAAAAGAAAAATTAAAAAATTAGCTGGGCGTTGTGGCACATGTCTGTAGTTCCAGCTACTCAGGAGGATTACTTGAGCCTGGGAGGCAGAGGTTGCAGTGAGCTGTGATTATGCCACTGCACTCTAGCCCAGATGACAGAATGAGACTCTGCCTCAAAAAAAAGGAAGAGAAAACACAACCCAACCTAGAGTCTGAGCAAATACAGCACCTACAGACTATTCACAAGTCTCACATCAGTAACATTCTGGATAAAATTTCTATTAATATGACCATAGCTTTTCTTGAAAAATTTTTGAATGCTTCAAAATGACAAAAACAAAAACAAAAATTTGTATTTATTTAACAATTTTGGAATCCTATAAGGGATTACATGTGAGCTGGCCCCCAAGCCATGGGTGCTGATAGTAAGCCATTTATTTATTTATTTATTTATTTATTTATTTTTTTGAGACGGAGTTTCACTCATGTTAACCAGGCTAGAGTGCAATGGCACGATCTCGGCTCACCGCAACCTCCGCCGCCTGGGTTCAGGCAATTCTCCTGCCTCAGCCTCCTCAGTAGCTGGGATTACAGGCACGCACCACCATGCCCAGCTAATTTTTTGTATTTTTAGTAGAGACGGGGTTTCACCATGTTGACCAGGATGGTCTCGATCTCTTGACCTCGTGATCCACCCGCCTCGGCCTCCCAAAGTGCTGGGATTACAGGCTTGAGCCACCGCGCCCGGCAAGCCATTTATTTTTAAGCAGAAAGTCAGAGCATTATTAGCATGCTGCAGACTTTACAGAAGCTAGGAGAAATAACATGAAACACAGAAGCCAGATCTGGATGAAATAAGGGCATAGAAAAGCTCACCATGAGATGACAACACAGCACATCATGAAACCCTACAGGGTACAACTCATTTGCATCTGATACCATGTAACACAGAGTTATCGAAATACTCTATAATTATCTGTCTCCTCTCTCTTGGGGCCTTTTTATCTGAGATGGCAACAAAAGGAAGAGCAAGCTCAAAAGAGCGTGCTGCTTTTGCTGAGAAGGCCCCTAATACCCACCCAAACCTTTGGGGTCCTGTTAATCAGCATGTTAGGCTGTAGAGCAAGAAGGAGTTAAGCACAAGAAAGGAGAGAGAGCAAAGAAGAGGTGGGGTTCAGGGATGTATGTTGGGGTGGTGTGGAATGAAGAGGAAGGAGAGAAGGAAGGATGTAGAGTACAAAGAAAAGAAATAATTTTCCCCTCTCCCATTCCTGGCTGCTACCTGACAAACAATCAAGAACCAAACAGCTGGGATCCTTCTGTTTGTCTCTATAATATATGGGAAGGTGGATGAGGCATCAGGGTTATGAATGCTACCATGAGAGTTCGCACAATAGATATTCGTGTCCCAAAGCTGAGCCCAGACCACAAGGCCCCACACTGACTGCCTCTCTGTGGCAAGGGTCACATATGTCCATCATACACCCTATTTATTGCTCCTCCCTTCCAGAGGTGTATGGGTTCTCCCGAGGCAAATTCCTCCATGAATTTCCCTTCCTGAAACTCATGATGGGAACATTAGGCTGCCTGGAATACAAATTGGCACAGTGCAGGACATTCAGCTTAGAATGAGTTTCAGCTGAGACTTTTTCCCTATAGGATAGGATGGTTGAGTCAGGAGGCTGTCAAGTGCTGCTATAAACCAAACTAGCAAGGTTGGGTTTGATCGTGCAATTAAAGGTTTTAGTACTGCATAACTATCCAGTCTAAAGAACTCATTTAAAAAGGGGAACTTACGGCCGGGCGCGGTGGCTCAAGCCTGTAATCCCAGTACTTTGGGAGGCCAAGGCGGGTGGATCACAAGGTCAAGAGATCGAGACCATCCTGGTCAACATGGTGAAACCCTGTCTCTACTAAAAGTACAAAAAATTAGCTGGGCATGGTGGTGCGTGCCTGTAATCCCAGCTACTCAGGAGGCTGAGGCAGGAGAATTGCCTGAACCCAGGAGGCGGAGGTTGCGGTGAGCCGAGATCGCGC